GTTGGATGTCGTCGATACTGCAGCTCAGGTGACAGCCATAGCAATGGTAATGTGCAGGGCATCCTGGTTACAGGCCTCTGGTGTTACCCGGGAACTTAAGTCCAAAGTGGAGGACCTACCATTTGACAAATTGAAATTGTTTGCAGCTAAAACAGACAAGGTTCTGCACAATAGTAAAGATTCAAGAACCATGCTCAGCACTCTGAGAATGTAAATCCCTCCTTACAGGTGTAAAAGATACACCCTCTATAAATGCAATAGATATGGGCAATATAATCAGCTGCCATAGAGACCCTATGAAGATACCAGATTGAGACAGCATGCACAGAGAAGGTGCTCCAATCAGGGTCGCCCCTCTACCAATCAAGCCCCAAAGCAGCAGATTTGAGGGTGTGGTCAAGGGTCTACACAATCTCTCATGATCCAGTGCCAGTGCAACACAGACATCTTTTTACCCACCATTTGCATCCCTTCTTAACACATTTGGAGTCCATAACATCAGACCATTGGGTGCTGGGAATAATTTGTGCAGAATATACTATCCCCTTTACTTCTATCCCCCTGCCCTACCCCTACCCAGTCCTTCTTCAGGGACTCTTTTCATGAGGTCCTACTAAAACAAGAGATCGATCGCCTCCTGATGATCAAGTAGAGGGTATTTGAAGGTACCCTAGAGAGGGACCCAAGGAATTTCACAGAAGGGGTTCTAATAGAATTACTTCTTGACAGAGAGAAAAAAATGGGGGGTTGGAGGCCGATCCTCGACCTCCGCAAACTGAACAAATTTCTCAAGAAGCACCGATTCAAGATGATCACGCTAACCACAATTATTCCGGTATTAGATCAAGGGAACTGGTTTGCAGCCCTCAACCTGCAAGATGCCTACTTTCTTGTTGCCAATTATCCAGCACAAAGGCATTACCTATGTTTTAATCTCGGACCAGACCACTATCAGTACAAGGTCCTACCTTTTGGCCTTTCATCAGCTCCCTGAGTATTTTCAAGGTACTAGTTGTGGTCACTGCATACCTCAGACAACATGTCATCATTTTTCCATACCTCCACGACTGCCTGATAACATGAGTGTCACGGGAGGAAACCACCTCCATGATGAACAAAACCAGAGCCCTACTCAGTCATTTGGGCCTTCTTATCAATGAACAAAAATTGACACTGCTCCCAATCCAGGGTATAGAGTTGATTGGTGCTCGCCTAGACTCAGTTTCAGCCTATGCATACTTACCTTGGCAATGCTTCATAGCTATACAAGATCTCAAACACCGTATCCATGATCCCTTCCACCATGATTTTCAACTGCCTATGGTAAACGGGCCATGGCTGCAACTACTTACGTGGTCTGTTGTGCCTGTTGGCATTTTTGCTGCTTTCAACTCTGGATAGCAATCGTGTACATCTCATCCCGTCACTCTCAAAACAAGAGAGTTACTATACCTTGAAACAGTCTCACATCTCTACGATGGCGGACATCAGTAGACAAACTTCTGGCTGGGGTTCCATTCCATCAAACCGAGCCCATGGTACAAATTATGACAGACGCTTCTCTCTTAGGCGGGAGGAGGGGCATATGAATGACCAAGTGGTCCAAGAAAAATGGTCTCTGCACGAGACATTTGCACATTATCTTGCTGGAGCTGAAGGCAGTAAGAAAGCATGCGCACATTTTGCACCCAGAATTGTCAGTCACACAGTTCAGATCCTCACAGACATCTCTATGATGCTTTACATAAACAGACAAGGCAGCGCCTACTATGTGCAGAGGCTGTCTGCCTATGGAATTGGTGCGTCCACAACCATGTTACACTTATAGCATCACACCTATCTGGGGCCAGCAACACCACGGTGGACTCCTTGAGCCACAACTTTTCCACAGTCCACGAGCTTCAGCAAGAGGCCACAAACTCAATATTCTACCAAAAGGGGTGGCTATTGATATTCCTCTTTGCTTCTCCCCAGAATACCAAATTCTGATACCGATTCTGATAGCTTTTTTTGATAGGATAATGAGTCTTGGGGATAAGGGAGAAGTGGCGGGTATGGTATTCCTAGACTTTAGTAAGGCATTTGATATGGTCTTGCATGATATTCTCATCAATAAACTAGGGAAATACAATTTAGATGGGGCTATAAGGTGAATAACTGGCTGGATAACAGTTCTCAGAGAGTAGTTGTTAACAGTTCACAATCCTGCTGGAAGGGCATAACAAGTGGGGTTCTGCAGGGGTCTGTTTTGGGACTTGTTCTGTTCAATATCTTCATCAATAATTTAGAGTACGCTTATTAAGTTTGCAGATATGAAGCTGGGAGGGGTTGCAACTGCTTTGAATGATAGGGTCAAAATTCAAAATGATCTGGACAAACTGGAGACATGGTCTGAGGTAAATAAGATGAAATTTAATAAGGACAAATGCAAAGTACTCCACTTAGGAAGGAACAATCAGTTTCACACATACAGAATGGAAAGTGACAGTCTAGGAAGGAATACTGCAGAAAGGGATCTAGTGGTCAAAGTGGACCACAAACTAAATATGAGTTAACAGTGTGACGCTGTTGCAAAAAAACCAAACATGATTCTAAGATGCATTAACAGGTGTGTTGTGCGCAACACAGGAGAATGAATAACCCTGATGAATCATGTTTGGCCTGCAGGCTAGAGGTTCCCTCTTTCTGCCATAAAAGTCCCCAATCCCACATTCCTTGTACATCCAAAATCCTCACAGATATCAGAAGGAATTTTGGGTACCTAAAGAATGCATGGTTAGACTCATGTACAGAAATCTTGGTTGCACCTTGTAGTCAAACACAGAGAGGACGTTTACATGCTTATTATTAGCGCAAATGAACTGAAGTTCTAAAGTATTCAATAAATATTTGTTTTTCCATGAAGGGAAAATATGGATTAATGTATTTTATTTATTCAGAGAATAACATATGAAAAATACTAAATATTTACACATTTTACTTAAATCTGTAAAACTACATTAGGAAAGTATGCAGCTTCATAAAATAGTTGAATTGGTATTATTTAAAGAAACATTTATTTCATGTGTATTTTACGCAAACACAGACTGGAAGAAAACAGAAATCCCAGTATGACAACAAGCCATTTCCAAAATATGTTTCCTTTCCTTTCAATATATAATTCTTCCCCTACCAAAGCTGCTTAAACAGACTCCCGTGAACTTCTAGAAACAAACAAAATATTAGGATATTGAAACAAATGTCCAATTAACACATGGTAAAAAAGAAACCATCTTCATACTCAAGCACAAAACCACAGCAAGAGTATGTGATTATTTTGAGTGCGTCAGCTTCAACAAATGTTTCCTGAGGTTTCACAGTGGAGGTTGTATTTTATTCCCCCATCCCTCCTTACCCACATTCAGTAAACAAAACATCATACCACATGCCATAAAGCTTTAAACTAGTGTACTGCAGCAAAAGCATGCATTTAGTACTCTATTCAAATAAAAAGGAATCTGAGCATACTCCGTGGCTGTGTCTAGACTGGCATGATTTTCCTGAAATGCTTTTAACGGAAAAGTTTTCAGTTAAAAGCATTTTTGGAACAGAGCGTCTAGATTAGCATGGACGTTTGTCCGCAAAAGCACTTTTTGCGGAAAAGCGTCTGTAGCCAATCTAGACGCGCTTCTGTGCAAAAAAGCCCTGCTCGCCATTTTCGCGATTGGGGCTTTTTTGCGGAAAACAAATCTCAGCTGTCTACACTGGCTCTTTTGCGCAAAAGTTTTGCGCAAAAGGGACTTTTGCCCGAACGGGAGCAGATAGTATTTCTGCAAAAAGCACTGGTTTCTTACAGTAGGAAGTCAGTGCTTTTGCGGAAATTCAAGCAGCCAGCGTAGACAGCTGGCAAGTTTTTCAGGAAAAGCGGCTGATTTTCCGGAAAAACTGGCCAGTCTAGACACAGCCCATATGTTAACAGACTATATGGTAACTATATAAAATAGGTTGTTATAATTGCTCCCAGGTCTTCACACATTTATTCGAAGTAGGTAAAATCTTGTAAGGCTCAATCAGGAGAGAGACTAGCATTCAATATTTGCAGCAACAAGTTTAACACCATCACAAAAAGAAAAAATAAAGGTAAAATAAATTATGTTTGGGAACATTTGCCATTTTCATAGTACCTACTGTAAAGTTAAATTTCTCATCTCTCTTTTGTAAGCGACAGGACATTTTTATTCACTCTGAATATAGCAAGCCAATGCTGTTGCTTGACAATTTTCTGTTACAAAATTTACATGAACCTCATTGTCACTGTATTGGAAAAGAGAAACCAAATTAAGTCCTAGTATTTATACAAATGTCCTATTAATTTGTATGCTATAAGCACATAGTAACACTTCAGCATATAATGATGCTATACATGCATGATGAGGCTAGCTCTGAAATAAAACACCAAAACATTTATAACAAACTTAAAACGAAATGTTTCAAAACTGATCAGACTTGTTTTCACTGGATAGAGGACAAGCTTCTAAGTGATGAGGTCTACTTGCATTCAGGAAAAATGCATTTTTAAGTTGCAAAACAGCAGGTGCCAAATGGTACCAAAAAAAAGTACAAACGCATGGTAAAATGCACACAGAGCAATGGCATGTGCAAATGCTGACTTGTAAGTGTCAATTTTTGTGCATGTATATTAACATTGATGTTTGGAGAAATTTTGCTCTAAACGTAGCATAATCTAAAATCAGGAAACCAACAAGTATTTTCCAATGGTTACTTCAATATTAGTGAGAACTGTGACATAAAATATAGTCCTAGCTGCTGTGAATTGTTTTATATGACAAGCTCAGTTGTCTAACACTAGCTTTTGTTTGCTAAAATCTGCTTCATAAACTTCTATGTAAAATTGGGAGAAATGCAGAATCCATACCCTGAGGTCCCCAAAATGCAGAATGATGCTCAATAGACTTAATTATATAGCTCAACTACAAATAATGAAATTGCAAACACAGCTTGGCTGGTAAATAATTTTCGTTTAATTCATGAGCTAATGGAGAGATGACTTGATATATTTCACTTATGGTACAGAAACTTTTTTAAAGGATTTTAAATCCTAAAACAGGAAATATTTTTACAGAATTTTACAAAAAACTGAATTGCAAATTTAAAAGTGTTTACCTGTATTTAACTAAAATAATAGCCAATAGCTTTTAATAAAAGTTCTTTATATTTCTTCTAGGGATGTAAAAATGTGTAAAACCACGTAACAAATCAATATTTACCCTGGGATCTAGGGGTAGGAAGGGATGGGCTCCCGCCGGCTTCCCTCCCCCCTCCCCTGCACTCTCAGGATCCTGGCTCCCAGGACCCTATGCACATTGGATTCTGCCTGCAGCAGAGCCCAAGTTATGGGTCAGGCAGCTGGGACCCTTGAGAGTTTAACCATTAACAGAAACAGATAAGCATCAGCTTACTGGTTAACCTCTTGGGGTAGGTCCACACTACAGGACAAAGTTGAATTAAAATACGCAACTTCAGCTACGTTAATTGTGTAGCTGAAGTCGAAGTAGCTTAACTTAACCTTTGGCGCTGTCCACACTGTAGGAAGTCGAAGGGAACAGAGTCTCCCTTCAACTTCCTTTACTCCTCGTGGAAACAGGACTACTGACGTTGACTGGAGTGTCCCTCTCAGTTCGAATTAGTGTGTCTTCACTAGACCAGCAAATTCGAACCCTGGAAGATGAACAGCAGTAGCTTCAATCTTCCTCTGTAGTGTAGATGTACCCTTACATTTCTACTTGCTTCCTCACACTTCATCTATACACAAAGAAATACATAGATTCCTGTGCTGTGTTTAGAATGATGTATTACTATAATGAATCTACCCTACAATATATCAATTCAAATTTGTCCAAAATTGCACAGTTATTTTTTACTGGAGTGGTATAAAAATCTTCAAAGCTTATAAAACATTATGTTAGCAACTTCCTGTAGACACTGTTACTCAGATTACTGGAGCATGTATCCCTTCCGCTGGTTCTAGCCATTAACTGACCACTGCTGCTACTAGGTTCAGGACTCTTTTTACAGCAAAAGAGATTTCTAACCTGCCTCTGACACTCAGAAGAGGCATAATAATAAATCAAAGGATCAATGCAGCAGCTTACACTGCTGATACAAACACAGAGGAGATAAGCAAAATAGAGATATTCTAACTGGTTGTTGTAAGAAAAAGATACATAATGAATTAATAAAAGGATATTTGTTGGGCCAAAACAAATAATAAAAACAGAGAAAACAGCTGCAGACAAGAGTAAAGCACGTGTCTTCTTACTTTGCTTTGCAACAATATTAGAAGAGATTAGACATTGGATGATACACACATAACAAACAGCAGTAATTATTAATGGCACAAAAAAGAAAATGGATGAGAAAATGGAGAAGAAATTCCGGTAATATCTCTTAAGTTCAGATTCTTCTAGTACATCATGGCAGGTTGTAATGTTTAACTGAGGTATTTTCACAGTTTGCTCTGTGATAAGAATGGGTATAACACCAACTATGGCTATAAGCCATATGGTAAAGCAGATTAAGGAGGCACGCATTAATGTACGCCATGAGAGAGACTGCATAGGATACACCACAGCTAAGAAACGATCAATGCTTATAACAGTCATCAGCAATATCGAACAGTACATGTTACAGTAGAATGCAGCAGTGATGAGACGACACATTTCAGGTCCAAAAACCCAGTGGTTTCCAGAAAAATGGTATGCAATCTTAAAAGGAAGCACACTTACAAACAATACATCCGCTGAGGCCAAATTCAGCATATATACTATGGCTGGCTTTTTAACTTTCATTTTTATCAGGAATACAAATATTGCTGTAATGTTCAGAGGGAGACTTAGCATAACCACTAATGTGTAAACTGAAGGAACAAAACGAGTCAACCATTGACTAGTCAGGTATCTCTCAGCATCATGAGAGATGAATATTGTTTGTGTTGATACATTTGTAGTTATATTGATTAATTCTGATCCAACTTTTGAATCACTATCAATGGCTTCAGGAGGTATAGGTTCATAGGTGTTCTCTTTGTTATAATATACAAAGGTTCTTCCCCGCACGGTGTCATTCCTTGAAGTTTTTTCTGAGAATTCAAAAACAATAAGATTAGTATGCAAGATATTTGTACACAGTTTTCTAGCATGAATATAGTTTACCAAGAAGAAGAATGGTATTGTGGTTACATCATCACACGAGAATTCAGGAAATCATTTTGTATTTGTGGTGCTGCTCGTGATTGCCTACGTGACATTTGACAAGTTGCTTAATCTCTCTTTGTCCCCTGATCTTCGTAGGGCCCTCTAGGTACCCTTGTAACACAATAAATCCTGTTACTCTTTGATTAGATTTGCCAAGCTCTTTTATAGTTGTTATAGCGATCTAGTGTCTCCTTGCTATTCAAGCATAAAACTCCATTAGGAGCAATAGTAATGACATGCACATAGCCAAAAGAGCACGTTTACCACTGAAAAACTAAGTTTAAATTGGGGATGTGAATGAGTACAGGCAATCCCCGGGTTACATGGATACTTACAAACGGGGTGAGGCAACCCCGCACTAGCTGCTTCCCCCCAGCAGACCAGGGAGACGCGAAGCTAGCTCCCCCCCCCCAGCCGACCAGGGAGACGTGGAGCGGCTTTTCTCAGCAGACACCTCAGCTTGAGAATAAAGGACTGTGGGAAGTGAGGTGTGGGAGAATAAAACTGAGCTCTGGAGAAATGTTTGGCTAGAGTTTCCCCTACAATATGTACCAGTTCCGACTTACATACAAATTCAACTTAAGAACAAACCTACAGTACCTATCTTGTACGTAACCCGGGGACTGCCTGTAGTTGATTAGCTGATAAACCTAGGCATATTGGTTAATCTAGTTCACTACTCGCATTTCCCCCTCACCCCTTGCTGTCTCTATATTAGAGGCAGCAAGGGGGAGGGAAGCAGGAGCCAGTGCTGGGGGAAGCCAGCTTAAAAGATGCTTCCCCCCCCCCCCCCCCCCACAGTCCTGCCTGTCCCCCTCTCTCCACACTGCTGCCTCTAACAGAGGCAGCAGTGTGGATGTGGGGGCAGGGGAGGTGGAGGTGGGAGTAGGGGAGGCAGCTGCGAAGCAGCCTCTGCCCATAGCGAAATCTGTTTTACAGCAGCCACCCCTGCCTGCGGTGGGCCCAGGCTCACCATGGACAGAGACTGCTTCATAACAAGCAGGCCCTGTTCAGAAGGGGAGCGGAGCTCCCCGCAGACAGAGGCTGCTTTGAGGCAGCCTTCCCTGTCCCCCCAGTAGCCTCCGTCTGTGGGGAGCTCAAACCCTCTCGTGGACAGGGGCTGCTGCCACCCCACGCTGCTCTCTCTATCAGAGGCAGCATCCGGTCTGTGAGGGGAGCTGATTTTTAAACTATTTCTCCTTGCGGACCGGCTCCCGCCTGGCATCCTACGCTGCTGCCTCTTATACAGAGGCATCAGAGCAGGGGGCTCTCTGGGAGTGGGGCTGGAGCCACTGGCTGCCCTTCCCACCCCTGGGGACTACAGAATAGTCTACTAGCCGCTAAGAATTCATGTGGTTAGTTGATTGTTCTATTACCCACTATCTAACATCCCTAACAAACACATTAACAAAGTTCAAAGATTTGGATGAAATACAGTTCTATATGACAGATGAATGATTTCTGTTCAATGGGACAAAAAGGTTAACATTTTTCTATATAACTACCTTTTATATTCTGTAAACTAAACAGAATTACAATACCACTTAAGATATAGTAAGTAAAAATTGTACATTATTCTACTTCCTAAATGTCCTTTAGCAGGCAAATGGTTGCAACTGCAAGAACACAATTTACACCTTTTTTGGAGGGAGTTACAGGAACAATTTATTGATTCTATAAAAGTAGAATTCAACAATATATTTCTATATTGGCATTACTTGGTGTATATTTTAATTAAATTTCTTTTAAGTTTATACCATACAGTGGCAATCTAAAGATTCTACACCAGAAAATTAGTCATAAAAATATAACAAACACCTTCCATGGGAAATAAGTTTTAAAAATATGTCATACAGACTACAGTAAACACCATGTTGTATACCTTCCATTTATCACATACTCAGGAAGCATTAGTTGAACCAGGAACCAAAGTCTAATTACTTTTATTCACAGCATAGCAGGGACATTGTAATTAAAAATATATTTTAAAACAATTTTCTGGTAAACTGCTTAATCATGTCTGATGTACATTAAACTTACAACACCAAATATTTAAATAGTATTTATTCTTTTCATCTTCATACAGTGATGATAGAAATATACAGAAAATTACTGAAGTATCTTAAAAACTAACAAACTCTACCCTATCAAATTCTAAAACAGTAAATTTAACCTACATTGTATAATAAATTAAAAATATAAAATCCATAATAAAAACTTGTGAAATACACTAAAATGCACACTCATACATGAGCTCATGTATGCTTTTATGTATCAGATTTTCATTTATGACAACAATTGGTTAAGTACTCATTGTCATATTTGCAACTTCTATAATTTGATTCAGAGTCATCCACATAGAGGCACATTACCAATGGAAAAAGCTTGTTACTAGCAGTGCTCATGGCAATATATTATTTATTTTCTGTCAATGGAAGTTTATTTTACTTAAAATTTCAAGTATAGTGTCTGCAACTTAGAAAGGGTAACACTGATGCAGAAGAATGAGAAAACGGAATTGATCAGTTTGTCTTTATATGAATAGAGAATCAAACACAAACAATATACATGGCAAAAAATTCTTTAAATTAGAAACACCACCATTTATGGAAAATGTCTTTCCATCTGTAGCCCTGAAAACCCTTTAACAAGGCACTTAAGCAACATTATTCCTGTCTTATAGAATCATACAAGGGTAGGACTGGAAGGGCCTCAATAGGTTATCTAGTTCAGACCCCTACATTCAAGGCAGGGCTAAGTAATAACACTAGTACATTCCTGACTGGTGTTTAGATTAGAACATAAAAATACAAGAATGGCCGTAGTGGGACCATCTAGTCCACTATCCTATCTTCTGAAAGTGGCCAATGCCAGGGCTTCAGAGGGAATGAACAGAACAGGTAATAATCCCCTATTGCCTATTCCCAGCTTCTGGCAAAACGGAGGCTAAGGTTTTGTCTCATCCGTTCTTAAAAGACTCCAGTGATGGTTATGCACAACCTCCCTAGGCAATTTGTTTCAGCGCTTACCTACCCTGATGGTACACAATGGGAAGGCGGTATTAGCAGAGTTGTTGCAGCCTTGCGTTTTCCCGGTTACTGGCCTAACCTCGGTTGGTAAGTTCCCACACAAGAAGAGCTTTGTGTCGCTCCAAAGCCTGCCTCCTCAACAGCAGTGGGTCCCCATCCCTCTCCTTGCTTCTCCAAGGCGGCACGGTAACACAGCTAAGTAGCTAACCTCGCTGCCCCTTAAACAAACCAACCCTGCCGCTGGCCCTGGGCACAGGCGAGGATTAAGGCTAGTCTCGATCTTGGCAGCAGCTGGCCCTGCGGCCGCTAGGAACGATATGAGGACACAAAGGGGGAGCCAGAATCCAGCCCTAGGAAGCCCGGGGTCCGAGGAGCCGTATGGGATGCCCCGGCCGGGCAGAGCTCTCCGGGAAACCCTGCCCAGTGGCCATGGCTGCCGCCCCAGCAATCCCTTCCCAGGGAAGGTGGGGTGCTGCTCCCGGGCAGCCCTCAGCCTGGCGAGCCCCTCTACCTCCGCCACCGCGGGCCAGCGCCTCGCTCCTAGCCCGCTGGCTTGCTCACAGGTGAGGTGGCCCGCCCGGCTCCGTGTGCCAGGCAGGGGCCTGGAGCGCCCCGGGTCGGGAGGAGGAGACACGCCGAGCGGGACTCACCGTTGGCTGGCGCGCAGAAGGCGGGCAGGGGTCCGAGCAGGGCGAGCCCGCCGAATAGCAGCATCTGGCGCCCCATGGCTGCCTCGCCCGCGGGCCGGGGTCTCTGCAAGCTGCTTGTCGTCCACGGCTCTCCCGAACGCATAGGAAGTGCGCGGGGAACGGGGCTTATAAGCGGCCCCGGGGGCGGAGGGGAAGCGGCGGCCCCCTCTGTCACAGGCGCAGACCGCACAGCCCCGCTCGCTGCTCCCCGCAGCCCTGGGAGAGGCGCCACCGCTTCCCTCTACGTTGTCGGGGAGGAGCTAGCAGGCGGGTTGCGGACAGAGCAGGCTTCCCGGCTACCCGAGCCCGCCCTCAGTGTCCCTCCAGCCGCGCCACGTGCCCCAGGGAGGGGGGAGACGCCCTCTGTGTGTCCTCGCCCTGCAACAAAGGAGCCCGGGCTCGTTCAGTGCCGGAAGGAAACGTTCCCCGGTCCCACCAGGCCAGGCCCCACAGTTGAGCTTTCCCGTCTCATAGACTTTAATAAGGTCAGAAGGGACCATTATGATCATCTAGTCTGACCCCCTGCACAGTGCAGGCCACAGAATCTCACCCACCCCTCCTAGAATAATCCTCTCACCTATATCTCAGATATTGAACCCTTCAAATCGTTTGAAGACCCCAAGATGCAGAGAATCCTCCAGCTGCCCACAGTGTATCCAGCACAAGCCAAAACGAACTGATCTGAGCAGAGTAAAAAGTTCACAAAGGCGCACTCTGGTGCTTTGCTGGCAAGGGTGGGGATTGATGCCTGGGAAGATTTCAATATTCATATTATTGATACAGACCTTTTCACCTCCTTTGAGCAGCTCCTCTGGCGCAACCCACCCAGCCAATCACACCTTGGACCTGGCCTTCAGCTTTGCTGTCTAGAGCAGAACATTACCTCATCGTGGCAGCGATAAGAGCTTTGCAAATAACTAGTCAGAGCTAAAACCTTCATTTCACTATGAAGACCTCTGAACTCCATAAAAAAACATGCTAAAGGATACACTCCACCCACATGCTAAGGAATAGAGGATCTAGTGAAGGATATACAAGATGTGGGCATTGATGCAATGGCCCCCAAGTGTCCCTTCCTCATCACCAATACATATCTCAAGTTTTCTAGCATCCTGCATCAGATGAAGGGAGAGAGTTGGAAACTTGAACACTAGTAGTGGAAGACAAAAACTGTACCCTTCCATCAACTGGATCTGAAGAAGTTGGTCTGTAAGTTCAAAGATTTCCAAGAAATCAGGTAATTTCCACTAGCATAGGTACTTCTAGATCCATCACTCTCAAACTTTTTGGCCCATGGTTCACCCTGCTCACAGACCTTTCCACTGACCACCAGCCACCCACACATGACAAAATGGGTGCAGGACGACATAGGGGCGCAAGTGCATTTTCTGGCCAGGAGATACGGTGCAGGAACAAACTTGGGGTGGGAACTCCATTTTGAACACCATAGCTTTAAATGACTTTTCCCTGGCAACAGAAGGTAGGGTGTGAGGGTTGTGTGGGTGGGAGGATGCAGGAGCAAGGTTTTGGTTGGAGAGTGTCTGTGTGTTCATGATGGGGGTATAGGATTTGGGCATGAGGGACATAGGGAGCAGTTTCCTGGCTCTGTGCCCCCTGCTGCATCCACGCACCAACCCCTGTTGCTGTTGTTAGTGGGCTGTGATTCTGGGCAGCAGGAGCAGTGGGAAAAATGGTTTCCTGTGTTGCAATTCCCCCATTTGTGGGGGTGAGGGTGTAGCAGTGCGCAAAGCTGCTTCCTTCCCCCACAAGCTGGATCTAGCCTACAAGGCTCACCAATGTCATCCACCAACCTATGCAGTGTTGTTCGTTGTACAGTAGTTAACTGTACATCTGGTCTCCTTCAGAGTTCCCAGGAACAAGGGATTGTTTCTATGAATTATCGGTATGTTAAATGAAAGTTACATAAAGAATTTCATACCAGTTTAAAATCTGTCATTAAGTTAGACTTGGATGTTTATGTAGAATAATTTTTAGGTAAAATCATTGCTCCACCTATCTCCAATGCTGGTGGGGCCCTAAGATTTGGGGGCTAGATCCAGGCCATCCCGGGGCTGCATCCAACTCCTGGGCCTTATGTTCTCCATCGCTGGCCTAGACAAAGTCAACAACTTTGGGCAGTGTATTTGGGCTGTGTGGTGCTGCCACTTTGAAACCCCAAGGTGACCGCTGCACAGCTGATCCACGAATCAGCTGTGCGGTGGGCTGCCCTTTTAAAATGCTGCCTCTGCATGATTCAAAAGGGTAACCCTGGAGCCCGCAGTCAGCTGGGGAGTCCCCAGCTGACCCCAGGCTCCTAGCAGCATAGTGTGGAGTCTGGAGTCAGCGGGGCCCAGGCTCCATGGCTTTGAAATGCACAAGAGCCCCCGCTGGGGACTCTTGTGCATTTCAAAGCAGATGTGCCTGGAGGCTGCACATGTAGTTCTGCATTCCTCCCACTACCAGGGCTCTTGAACATTTCAAAGGAGGAATGCGGAAGTGCCTATCAACTGACAGAAATTCCGACAACTAGTCAGTTAACCGCATTTTAACATCCTTAGTTTTCTGCTGAGCATCAACACATGATGGATTAAATCTTAGCATTAAAATGTTTTATAATGTGGTGTGAATGTTAATAGGAATTCTGAATAAAGTGTTTAACTTATGAAAGGGATCAAATGTTCAGTAAATATAGCAAATTTTTTTTATAGAGATGGGGTAGGTCAAAGCTGGTATGTGCATACTAACTAGAAGAACTAGTAATGACAATCATACTATATAGTGCTGAAATTTATCCAGTCTATTTTTAATCATATACAATTACAACGTCAACTACACTACCAAGACTACTGTAGTTATAAAGTAGTGAGCATGACACTGGTAAAACAGCTGCCAGCTCTTGCTAAGGCTGTTGGCAGTAGCTGAGCACAGATAAATTCATAGCTGAAAATCAGATCAGCTCACCTATATGTCCAAGACAGGTGTGAAACTTAAGTGTTTAGTCTCTATAAAGCGTGTATAAGTTGCTGCATGTATTAATTTTACTAATTAAGTTGTATTCTATACTATAAAGTAATATATAAGGTTTGCTTGCTGCTAACTGTAAAAATACCTGCTCTGAACTTGTGAACCCAGGAGGAGGATTGGTTCCCTGACCTATCAAGGCATTCCAAGACATGGGGCTTTATGAAACATCACAATACAAAGACTGCGTTAATTGTCCTCTTATACCCATGTTGGTGTTACATGCAAGAAAGCTCATCTAGTTTTAAAAATTGTGGAAAGAGGAAGTAAAGATGCCTGACATGACATTCTTCTGCTTTGCTTGTATGGATTTTCACAGGGCTGGAACTAGGAAATGAAATCAGCCATCTTAAGAATCAACCTGGGTTAACCCCAAAAAGACATTCAGTGTTGATGTGTTACTACATCTGTGTCACCTTTTGGAACCACAGGCGGGGTGTGTGTCCTGCTTTAACCTATTAATAACATTCATTCACTTTTGTAGTTAATAAATCCTTAGTTGACTATAAAGATAAGCTACATGTATTGTCTTTAGTGTTAGATTCTAGGTACAAATTGACCTGGGAATAAGTGCCTGGTCTCTTGGGACTCGGAACAACTTGAATATTTTGTGATCTTTGGCATAAGTGACCATTTTTCACTAAGTCTACCTTGCTTGGCTGGCAAAATAGGCTGGAATGCCTAAGAGGACTGTCTAACTCCATGGCAAAGTTGTTTTGCACTTTAGGAGTTCACACTTGTTACTGGATTGGTGAAATCTAATAATAATAGCACTAATATGGGATATCTTCTGTGTGTTTGTTTAAAAAAAAAAGTCCACCCTGAAGCTAGCACTCGGTCATGAACTACTCCAAACAGTGTTACATCAGAGTACCCACAATATAATCTCTTTATACAGTTTGTCTAAAAAAAAAATATTTGCTGAATGTATTAATTCAACAGAACTTCATTTTCCATCTATCCTTTTAAAACTTAGTCATGTGAAAAGTAGCTCAGATGTAGTTACTAATAAAATAATCACACTTAATGATGTACAGCACATGAAAGTTACTAGTGTTTGTTTTTTCCTTGGGGAGCAAAACAAGGTTTCAATTTAAATTGGACTTTCCAGCTTTGTAAAACCATTGAAGACAATAGGAAATTTCTTATCTGATAATTCTGTTAGCAGCTTTTCTCCTCCATTATTTATGGGCAAATGCCCATCTGTGGATTTCAGAACACTAAGTGTTCCTCAACAAGTTTCAAGTCTCAGAGGGGTAGCAGTGCTAGTCTGCATCTGCAAAAACAATGAGAAGGTCCCGTGGCGCCTTAAAGGCTAACAGATTTAAGCAAAAACTTGTGGGTAAACACCGCTAGCAGATGCATCTGATGAAGTGATTTTTACCCACAAATGCTTATTTCCAAGTAAATCTGGTAGTGTTTAAGGTACCACTAGATTCCTCATGGTTTTTGGAAAAAAAAAATCAGTTTATATTCAAGTCATGGGTTGAATTCAGAGAGAAGCTGCTAAAATAAAATGAATTTTTTCATTATGCAGCTTTTCTCTTCAGTCATTACTCATAGGAATTAGTGAGCAATGAATCCTTAAACTAGGGTGGGGGAAGGATAAGCAGACTTTAATTACAGGAAACCTATGGACAAAAGGAACAAAGCAAACATGATTCTGGGATGCATTCACAGGAGTGTTGTGAGCTAGACAATAAATTTGTCTTCCTAAGATGCATGCAAGGGGCTAATG